TTCGATTTTTTTCTGAAATGATTTAATGAAAATCACATGACGAATATTTGGAAATTGATGGAGATTATCAAGAAGACGATTGCGATCAATGATTAATGTATGAACTCGTAATGCAAATAAGTGATCATGACGAATTCTAGAACGTCCATTATAATGTATATAAATATACAGTCGATCGAGGGATTGTAGGAGAGCATTCAAACGCAAATTAAGTCCATAGAAAGCATAGTAAATATCACGAGCATCCAAATAATCAGATATTTCAATCAGAATTTCATTCGGTAATAATTCAAATCGAGAAAAATCCATATTTATATAAAAGAAATCAAAGAAAATAAAATTATTTATTCGGAATAATAAGTTGTTGTAGATAGATAAATTTGTAGGTTATGAATAACATACGTGCACACTGAAATTTCAAAAGACATCGTTATCCATACGTATTTCTTACTATAATCTTAACTTCTAAATATTAAATGAATAGTAAGATGTAGAAATAGAGGCCACTATTTCTCGGTATGTATCTATATGTACGTTATAATTATATTCGAGAAAGACATCTCTTTTCTCTTTCATATATCTATGAAATTTGTACTTTTTCTTCTCTCTCTCTTTCTATATAGCTGATTTTTGTTTCTGGTGTATCTTTTCTTTTTAAAATGTGTACCAAAATATGACACAATAAATATTCATGCTAAAAAAATTCATAAGTCAGACTGAGATTCTCGAACTTTCAGTCACAGAGTATTAATATCTACGACTATATGTCTATTTTTACTAGTTGAGAAATGTTATATACAGTTCACAGAAAAGAAAGAAAAATGACGTGACTATTTGTTTGTATTCTATCAGATTAGTTAGCGAGGTATTACTGGAACTTATCTTTTCGGAATTCTTTTTTTACGAGATTCATTCAACTATGATGTGTTTATTGCTTATCATGCTCTTTCAGCATTTCACACCTTATACTCATTCGCACTTTATATGTATCGAAAAACTACTGGAATAAATCTCAAAATGCCTACGAATCTATTTAAAAGTTCCAATAAACTCGAAAACATAAGCCCTGATAGTTGGTGGATTCGTCGAAAAAAATTAAATTCAATGAGAACAAACTGATTTTAAAATTTCTCCTTCGATCCGCGCTGCATTGAACTTTCAAAAAGCTCGACATAGCATGGTACATAGTCCGTGTTAAGGGAGAGTTTATTTAAATCACCACACCTTCAAGATTTCAGTTTTTTCACTTTATTTTATTGATAAAAAGAATCGAAGACTACACGAAGATGATATTCCGTTCACTTCATTTATTTTTGATCAGAATTGGAAAGAAATTGTTTTTTTCAAATATGCTATTCTCCATAGAAATAACAAATGTAAAAGAAGAAACGTGTTTTAATCAGTATCTGTGAAGAAACATAGTTTCTAATTTATTTATGAACAAAAATTTCCATCAACGTTTTCTTTAATAACAGAAGAAAAAGTAAAGAAAATCTTTTTCTCTTTTTCTTAAGTAATGGTTGATGGATAATAACTGAGGCGTATTTTTACGACAAAATGTGTTCAACAAAATCAAATAATATGAAACACATATCGAAGAAGATAAATACTTTCAATGCTCTAAAAGAAAGGCAATTCCATTGATTTGACTAAAAATGTTTTCAGTTCATATCATCTTTCTACTTTTTATTGCCAAGACAGTAAGAATACATCCATTACTTCTATATAAACAAATATCTTGATAGTTATACTATGAAAAAGTAAGCTAAAAGCAAGTAAATTGTTTGAGAAAGCAATCGGTAGCCAGTTGAATACTATATTTCTTCCTAAAGAAAACCATATGATGTAATTAAAAGTTAAAAAATATCACTGAAAAAAAAGAAAAGACTAGAATAGCATTTTCTGATTAAAACAACGACAAACAAATTTCGTCAACAAATACCAACAAAAGGAAAAACGTTAATTTGAGACAGTTAGGATATAATTATTAGCTTTCATTACAGTTAATGTGAACGTAAATGCTTATTTTAATACATCATAATTATTATCTTTATAGAGAAAAATCAGCTGCTTTCGTAAAACATAATAAACTATCGTGCATTGGTCAAACAGTTGTTCAATGTATATTTGAAACTTACAGGTGAATTGAACTATAGTAGTTTTAGATGTAGAACTAATATTTAGGTGATTTATTTAAAGGTTAAATAATATCATCGAAATTAGAGATTTGTACTGATAATGACAATACTTAACATGCAGAAAAAATTGAGAAAGTTCAATTAAGTTCAGTTTTCTGTTGCCAACACAAAGAATAAAACACATTTTTTGCTGCATTATATTAATTATTTTCTTTCTAAATTCAGTAATTTCTTTCAATCTTTTTTCCTCTGACGTGGCTGTTGACTCTCAGTACATTTTTCACACGTATTACTCATCAAAACGCACTTTCTTATAGGATACTCATCTGCTGCAGTAGCAGTTGAATTTTCTTTTTTCCTCTCTCTCTCGAGTATATAATATTGTGCTCTGAGTGCAAATTTGTGTTAGTGCTGGAATACAAAAGTGAAAAAGGTAATTAGAAGTAATAATACTACATTTTAACATCCATTTCCTCGTGAATTGTGTTACATCAATTTTCTTGTTTCCTGTTATCTCTAAGGTAAGTGTTTGTATCAACACAGATACGAAAACTAATCCTGACTCAAGAAAAGCAGTATAAATTTAATCATAGTGTATACTTGCTACACGATATTTTCTCATGTATTGTAGTATCTAGTCATATGACCAGACATGCACCAAATCCAAACTGTTTCGAACTTTGGGTATTAGATTTGGGTTTAGCTGAGGGTTTTGGTTTTCGGTTAAAGTTTGGGTGTTGAGTGTTGGCTTCATTTGAGAGATTGAGTATTGAGTCTGCGTTTGGATTAGATTTCAAAGTCTTCGATACCTATGTCGCAAGTATATCTAGACTGATACCCAAACTCATTTTCCAAACCTAAACTCATATACCAAAATGGTTTGAGCTTCGGCCATGCCTACTTATGAACGAGAGATATTAGCACCTTCTATAGTTACTACAGATTACTATGCTATTCAGATTGAAATATACATACTTTTTCTGCTATAAAACTTTTCTTTCAATTTGTGTAATTCATAGGAGACAAAAATAAACAAAACCCGGGGGCCGATTCAATAAAAACCTAGGCGCGTCTGACTCATTGAGTTTTGCGAAGCGGTTCGTCCGATCCAAAAACTAAATCTTACTAAAACCGGCCGGTCCAAACCCGTTCACTGCGTGGAGTGGCCTGTTTTGAGCTAACTAATTTGTTCGAACAGTTCGCTCGAAACGGACTGGTCGAGGATTGAGAGAGACCTATAGTTCGCCGCATTCTATGTTCCTACTGTAAGGAGATGCTCAGAGTCTGTAGATTCCTATTCTTAAAAAAATAGGAATACCTAAAGTCTCTCTCAGTACTCGATTGTTTCAAGTGGGTTCGTGAGCTTGAGATTATGTACTGTTACTGTCGAACCTCATAGATTGCAAATACGCATATAAGGGAAAAAAGAAATGTTAATCATTCTACTTGAGAAATCACTGTATGCTAAATATATGCCATGTGTTGTTAAGACGACATTTCATTGATAATTCAATTGTAGAAACGTGAGATGGAAAGAAGAGATAACCTACGCCGTTATCATCCTCTTCGACGATTTCTTATTGAGTTGAATCTTTTCGAAACGGATATAAACGATGAACAAACGATCAGCATTCAACGATGGTCTACTCGCGTTTATATTATGTTCCTCTTTTCTGCAATGTCCGTTTTGCTTGTCTACAATGCATCAGCTGTTAAAATACAACAAATCGAAGTGCGAAGCCCGTCTCTCGAAACATATTTGGAATTGCAAAATACCTACGACACGAACGTCAAATGTCCATGCACTGAAATATCTGTTTCATACCGTTCATTTGCCGAAATAATTCCATTTTACCATGAAATATGTTCCAGTACTTTCATTTCACAAAGCTGGATCGATATGCTCTTCAATCATCAGACGTTCATGCAATATGTATTAGATTTTCGTGCAACAGCTAGTAATCAATTTCAGGTTCTACGAGAACTCTGTCAATTCTCACAAACGTCTATCGCTACTGACATTGAGGGATTCTACGATGATGAAATTATCTCAGCCTATTTACTGAGTGAATCTTTATTAAATGCTGAAATGATATCCATTACTACAGCCTTTCGAAAGAGTAGTGTCGCGAATTTCCTTCGTTCTCTTTCGTTTATACGTAGGTATGTGATGGGAAATCAATTTATGACTGGAATTCAAACCGCTTACATGTCGCTACTTTACTCAGAGGACGGACTAAACTGGTATGGAACGCAGTATACAACTATATTCGAACAACACGGAATTATTGACGATTGTCAGTGCTCTGTAAATGCCAGCTGTAATATGTGGTCTGCCTTCTACAATTATACGGATACTGACACGAGTGGGCAATTTAATTGGTCAACATCCACTGTAACTCTCCAAGTTGCAAACTGGTTCGCCGGTTGTTGGCCCTTGGAATCACTCCTTCTTTCGTCACTCGACAACAGTTTCTTGAATAATCAAAGTGAACTCGATGTCATAGCAGCATATTTCAATTGGTCGTCAAATTCGACGCATACCGCTCTGAACACACAGAAAGCAACAAATCAAAGCGTCATGTTCAATGATATTCTTGAGACTTTATTCATAGAGAATATCTCAACAGAACTCAACTATTCACTTTATTTTGCTCAATGTCGTCCAAAGTCGTGTTTATACTCAATCAATCAACACTCGAGCTTTTTATACATATTTACAGCTCTTCTTGGACTGTATGGAGGTCTATCGGTTGTTCTTCGATTACTGACTCCATATGTGGTCGGCTTCATAGTTCGATATCTGACTAAAACACCGCCTCAGCATCCTTCTATTCATATCGGTAAGTTTAAATTGAGATTATGCGTATAAAACTTTCTATTTATATAGAGACAACAACGCAGACATGGAAACAACGAGCACAGACACTGGCAAAACCAATATGGAATTCTCTTGTTAATCTCAATCTGTTCAAATCATCACCTCGACAACAACCATCGGATATCAGACAACAACTGTGGACAACACGAATCTATATTACACTACTCATTCTTGCTCTTATCATTTTAACACTTTATGGGATGTTGAGCTTCGAAACAAAATTGATACAAGTGAACAAACCTTCATTTAGTACTGTACAACAATTACAATCTAAGTCTCAGATCAACTTAATTTCTTCTCTACAATGCCCATGTACACAATTAACGGTATCTTATGGTCAATTTATTCAATTTCACCCATTCTATCATCAAATATGCTCGAGTGATTTCATATCAGAGCGTTGGATAGATGCTTTCGATGATATAACTTCTGACTTCCTGCAACAGAATGTGTTCGTCTTGGCCTATGTTGATTTTTTATTCTCTCAAACGCTATTTGTGCTTCTGAAAGGTCTGTGCAGTTTTTCTAACGAAACAATTGCTAATGCATTGCAGACATTTGAACAAAACCAATTAGTCGATACTCAATTGCTTACAGTGGATGAATTTACAAATCAAATTTCCTCTGTTATCAACCAATTTGAACTGGAAACAAAAAACACCTTTTTACACTTTCTTCAACTTCTGCGTAATATTACACATGTCAACCAAATTCTATCTGGCACAGGAAGTAATTATATTATTGATATTGCCAGTCCACCTAACTATACTACCTCTTTGTCTATCGCGACTTACTATGATGATAATTCATCCGATATATGTTCGTGTGCAAATGATTCAAGCTGTAAAATGAATTGGGGCTTATTCACTGGAAATCCAGCAGTTATCCAAGTATATACTATACCTGAGTTCTATTATGCGTGTCAGCCAGTTGAATCACTTTTACAATCAACACTTAAATGTTTCTACGACGATCAAGATTGTTTGAGCATTATTATCAACTTTTATAATGTATCATCCTTTAACAACTTTACTCGGCTCAATTCTTCTTCGCATGCAAGTCGTTTTATGAGAAATAGTACAATTGGTTCTCTACTTTCAGAAATGTTTATTGAATCTTGGTCTGAATCTACAAACTATTCATCCTATTTTGCCCAATGTCAACCATCGTCATGTTCTTATACGATTTCACAACGCAATAGTTTACTCGAAATATTAACAACACTTGTCGGTCTGATCGGTGGACTATCTGTCTCTCTGCGCATTCTTGTCCCATTTCTAGTCATGGCATGTATTGGAGTTATTCAGCGCTTGTTTTCACAACGTCAGCGAACACTGACAGAAGCGAGTAAGAATATATTTTATTTCTATTTAGAACATTTTTAAAGAAATAACTTTTAGCTTCTCCTTTGTCACATGTTGTGAGAGTCGGTACTAAGATTAGAGATTGGTTTAAAAAAGTGAATGTATTCGAAGATACAAATCGTACAATCACTATTCAACAACAATGTGTAGCAACACGTGTCTATTTACTTCTTCTCGTCATATCATTATTCATTGTCGTTCTCTACACTTCGCTGATCTATTATTTGAATACATTCACAATAACAAAACCATCTCTTGAACAATATCAACAGTTACAACAACGCTACGGATCAGAGGCCGTTAGTTGTCCATGTTCTCGACCGTCTATTACGCATTCATCATTTATTACATTGCAATGTGAATTTCATCCAGTGTGCACCAGTCCTTTCACCTCTGACTTATATTTACAAGAATTGTTTCAATTATACAATGATTCGGATTCGACATATGCAACAACAAACGCATTCACTCTTCAAGGCACTATTTTTAGTTATTTTCAAGCTCTTGCTGCCTTGTGTAATTTGGTAAATGATTTTGTCAACGATGCTAAACAACAATATCTTGTTGCCTCCATCATCTCCACCCTCATGATTGACTTTGATCTATTCGAGAAAGACACAAATGCGTCACTCATTGAATTTCAATCAACACTACCGAATTCATTTTTAAATTCGCTTCAAATAATACGTGGTCTAACGCAAGGTAATGGATTCGTCTCCGCGTATTCAACAAACTGGTATTATGTTACCAAGAATATTAATGAAGGGTCTATGTTGTATCTCAAACCACAATATTATGGCAGTGACATGTGTAATTGTGCTACATCGTCAACATGTACTCAATCGTCGACACCTTACATTAAAGGTTATCTTGTTGGTTGTACTCCACTTGAATCACTCCTTCAAAGTACACTCGAATGTCTCTATGAAGAGTCTTGCATTGATCTACTCACTACCTATTTGAATATGTCTTTATCCAACTATCTTGTACCGTTGAACAAAAGCGAAACTCGTTTTTCTTCAAATGGTACCGTTAACTCTATTGTTCAAGAAATGTTTGTCGAAACGTGTTCATCAAATGTCTCATATAATCAATTTTTCGAAGAATGTAAACCCGATTATTGTTCAGTGACAATACTCGAACCAGGTAGTTTTATCATTGTTATCACGACGATTTTGGGTCTTTATGGTGGATTGACAACTTTTCTCAAACTTGTCGTGCCCTTTCTTGTCTTTTCAACTTACAAATTAATCAGAAAATATAAGCAAAGAGCACAAGTGGGAGTCCAACAGGTAAACGTGTATTTATAAAGTTGTTGGGCTCGATAGAATAAAGAGTCTCGATATAAGAGTAGCTTGGGAGTACGATCAGAGGGATACCAAGATAATTCTATTTTCTATACTTACCGACACAATGTAACTGATGCTTATTCTTTAGATTCCAGTGACTTCTTTGGATAATAACACGATATTGGTTGGCAACACCGATCATACTGTACATCTTTTCATTAAATCCAACCAACATTTACATCTCAATCCAAACTTTCTGGACTCAACTAATGTTTCCAGTGATGCTATTGCCGTAGGACTAGTGTCCACGGCTCCACCTATTTCGTATGTCTCTCTTCTTTAAATTTCATTTATAGTTTAGAGTTGTTTTTCTTAGAACAAGTTTCCTTCCATCAAGACAACGCTATCTCAAAATCATTGTTAGATTTATACTGTTTACAATTGTAGTAGTCGCCATCATTATTCCATCTGTTTATCTTACTCGACACAAACAGGAAGAGGATCAATCTGCACTAACAGGTGAGATCTTCTTTATTATTACTTTTCTGATATTTAAGTTCATTTACGCTTCTTCTCAGAACAAGGAGTCTAAAAATCAAAGACAAAACCGATTTAGATGCTGGATGCAAAAGTTGATTAGATCAGCTTTTCTAAGTCTAATAGTAAAAAAAAGTTAACGAAAGATTGTAAATCACTCGAAAATTTGGTATCATTCTATATAATATGAAAATCATTGAGAATTTCTGTTGCTAATCATATTCGTAGCGTCTAAATGCTCTTGTATGTATCATATCTAATCTTTGTCAAACATATTTTATTTCTTAGTTCCTTCAACAAGCACAAGCACAAGCACAACAACGAGTGCCATCACAAGTATCACTACCACCAAAATAATCACTACTAGCAGAAACACGACAACAAGTACAAGTGCAAATACGACAAGTAGCACGATATTTTAGCCATTAACAGTTTCTACTCCAGCGGGTTCGTATATCAAGACTATGGAATGTAGTTATCACTTATAGATCACATCCTCATCCCCAAAAGATAACTTTAGAGATCTTCGAATGATAACGAACGATTTAAAAACAAACGTTATTATAAGTCGCTTTGATAAAAAAATAATTAGTTATTTTTAAAAGTTGAGTCATTAATGCATAGTAGACTAAGAATTCGTATATATCATCAGTACATGTTGATGATGTACGAAGTTGAAGAAAATCTTCTTTTGTTTAATCTCTATTTTATTGATTTCTTCTATTAGTTGTATCCTGTACAAATTTGACCTTCGCAGCAACAGCTTCGTATCCAGTTGGAGCCAAACCTCAGGCGACTGCTATTGGTGATTTCAATGGTGATGGAATACTAGATCTTGTCATTGTCAACAATGATGATAACACTGTGAGCGTGCTCCTTGGAGTCGGGAGTGGGCTGTTCGGATCACAAACAACATTTCCAACTGGTCTCATACCAGTATCGGCCGCTGTCGGTGATTTTAATGGTGATGGACGGCTAGATCTTGCCGTTGTCAACTATGGTGATAACACCATGAGTGTGTTACTTGGAACTGGTAGTGGAAGTTTTGGACCACAAATAATTTATTCAACTGGTTTTTACCCGTGCTGGATCGTTGTCAGAGACTTGAATGGTGATGGCCGATTAGATCTTGTTGTTGCTAACAGCTATTCAAGCAATGTGGGTGTATTTATTGGGATTGGTAATGGGTTTTTTGGGCCACAAACAACATACTCTACCATCGCCATGCCGATCTCCATTGCTATCAACGATTTCAATGGTGATGCTTATCTAGATCTCGTCGTTATCTCCTCGTATTGGCCCACCATTAGTGTGCTACTTGGGACCGGTACTGGGACTTTCCAATTACAAACAACGTTTTCAACTAATTCTGGATCGTACGTGATCGCTACCGGTGATTTTAACAGCGATGACCAAGTAGATATTGTCGTCGGTAACGGCTACCCCTGGCTGCCCAATTTAGGTGTACTTCTTGGCAACGGTGATGGGTCCTTTGGACTATCAACTACGTTTTCTGTAGGCTTTGATTCAGTGCTCGATGGAGCCGCTATTGGTGATCTCAATGGTGATGGTCGATTAGATCTTGTCGTCTCCAGTTCTTACACCTTGGCAGACAATATTCGTGTGCTCCTTGGAACCGGTAATGGGTCTTTTGTATTACAAACCCCACTTGCAACTGAATCTAATTCTGCACCGTATGGAATCGCTATCAGTGATTTAAATAACGATGGTCGACTAGATCTTGCTTTTTGCGATTCGACCGCAGAGAACGTTTTGAGCATTTTTCTCAATACATGTACATGAGAGAGATATCTTAATTCGCATTTTTTTGTTGTTGTTGCTTGATGTTCTAATTTCGCGCTTAATGCTTTCAATATCTTGTATAATTGCTTTTTATTATTCACTTGCTCATTATTTCAAAAATACAATACATTTATCTTAACATGAATTATTCTTGTATTTTGTAGATAAAACTGAATATTGGCTAGACACCGGCAGAGTAGAACAAGGTGATGAAATCAAGAGAACGAAAAACAGTGATATTTATGAAATATCAAGTAATAAATAATGATAGAACTTGCTGAAAAAAATTAACCTAAATCTAATAAAGAAAGAGATGCACATAGAATTAATCGATATTTCAAAGCAATATCAAACATCAATAAGAGAAAAAGATATGAAATACTGGTTAATTTCTATATAACTGACAGAGTGTGGGTGCCGATTACATCAAGACATGAATATCGCCCACAACCACACCTTCAAGATGTTGACGTCTATTAACCATAGACACAAGGATAGATATATTTCTTTTTCTTATATGAGATAGAAGACCGAGGCCTATTTCTATTATGTCAACAGTAAGAATCAAGGCTTATCTAAAAATAAGGTATCGTGAATATGAAGGGATATAGTCTATTGGCACATCAATATTTATTTTATTTTTTTGTTGTTTTCATCTCAATTGTAAAGAAGAAGAAAATGATACTATTATATTAGTAAATATTCTTTGTTTTTCTTCTTGTTCTATTTTTGCATCTCTACTTATTAAAGAATTCTGTGATAAGTATATTTTCAACTTAAATCAATCTCGATTTATTAGAAAGATCTCCAAAGTGTTATATGAGCTCGTTTCTAATTTAAAAATGTGGAGATGAATGTATAGATGATAATCTTCTACATTTGTTCGTAGAAGATCACACGCTATATTTAGAGCAAGGAATGGCTATCGCTAGGAAATATCCCGACAGGTAAATAAAGAAAACGAGATGCGAAAACTCCTATCATAAACAATAATATAAAAGGAGAGACCCATAAAAAAGAATGAAAGAGAAAAATACAATGAGCAGCAAAGGAAAAAAACAACAAATGCATGAAAAGTCATATGAGAGATGACATATACATATGTAATCGCAGAACGAAAGAAGATATACATATGATGAGACGAAACAAAAGATGATAACACCATCAAATAAAAAAATAAAATTTACTCCAACTTCTTCATTTCCTTTTCTAAAAAAATAAAAAAATTGAAATATAAATAATCATTTATTAAATCTCACTGAAATCTTCTTTGAATTCTTGATAAAATTCGACAGTTGTCACGAGGAGCTTATCTATTTTTACGATGTCCTGATCGACCAATAACAAGTCGTTGTTGAGGATACATAATTGATCAGCAACTTCGCACTCGACAATTTTTAATTCGAATTATTGCTTAAGTACTTCCATTTGCTTTAGTTTCTGTAATTCTTTAAACAATAGATTCAATGTCGGCTCCATCTACATAATAGAAGTTTTTATGTTGTAAATTTAGTGTTTTTTCTTAGCTGCTTAAATAAATTCATAAAAATGGAACTACCTTCGCTTTTTGCCATTTAACCTAGATCGAACAATCTGGCACGGAAACGGTCGGTTCCGTGGTAATCTGGAGATTTCATGGAAGCAATATTTCAGTTGAATAGATTCGGTGGCCGGATTTATATGGCTTAGGTGGGAACCGACAGGAACATGTCAAAATCGGCAGCCAGATACGGTTACCTCACTTTTCCATCGGATTCTTGGTATTTTGCGGGTGGATTTCGCCCGAAAATGGCGAGTTTCCTCAATGATTTCGCCAGAAACTCATGGAATCCTGCTTCAGGAACTATCTTCCTGGGTAAAGGAATTCATTCCAAGTTTTTGATTTGGGTATCTAAAAAATGAAAGAAGTAAAATAGAAATAGTAGTTTTTTGGATCTTACTGGAATCTTTGAATTTAAGATAAAATTCGAAAGTTGTCACGAGGAGCTGATCAATTTTTAATATATCTTGATCTATCGATAGCAAATCTTTGTTCAAGATACATAATTGATCACTATTATTGCATTCCATAAGTTTTAATTCAGTTTGCTTTTTCAAAAATTGTAATTGTTTCTTTTTATTCAGTTCACTGAATAATAAATCCAATCTTGGCTCCATCTACAAACAGAAGCTTTCATATTGTAAATTTAGTGTGTTTTTCTTACCTGCATATAAACAAGGTTCAAAACTGTAATAACTTCACGATGACGATCTACCATTCAAGAAGAAACAAAATTTTATTTATTGATAACTGGCTAATTTTAAAACAAGTAAAGTTAAAAATTTAATGTAGTTTACTACGCAGTTAAATTATTGCGTAATACTATTATATTCGTCTCTGACGTTGACAATACTAGTCGGATCATGTGGACCGTCATCGAAGATGATCGGATCATCGTCGTCACCGTCGATGACGATTGAGTCATCATTTTCATTACACATAATATTAGGAAAAGCGATAATAAAGTTTGAGAATTCGTTGGGTTCCATTTCGTCTAATAACGACCATTCATTATTTTCATTCAAATATTCATCGAGTAAGTTGGGTGTGGCTGTTGATATTTTTTGAACTAAAATTCATCAATAGAAAAGTATCTATCTTTAATAATAAAAATAAATTAAGTTGGAAAAAGTGTAAGAGATACTGGATATTCAACTTACTTTACACGAGCGTTTGTATTGTTGAATGTGTTCGAAAAGTTTATCTATAGTCTCTATGACCTATAGCAGAAGAACAATTATAAGCTAGTATTGTTTTTTTCCTTACATGACTGTAGTTGATTTGAATTGCAGTTAATAAATCATGCTGCGACGACATTTTCAAATATTATAAGCAGTAATTATAATCTAAAATGAAAAATTTAGTTTAAAAAAACATTTAATTCTAATATAGGTTTTCAGTTAATATATGTGTATCTAAATAAGTGATTTATCATGTGAGTGTGGGTGTGGA